GCCAGGAGCCCCTAGTAGCGTCCTTGCTCCTAGTAGCGATGCCAGGAGCCCCTAGTAGCGTCCTTGCTCCTAGGAACGATGCCAGGAGCCCCTAGTAGCGTCCTTGCTCCTAGGAGCGATGCCAGGAGCCCCTAGTAGCGTCCTTGCTCCTAGGAGTATGGCCAGGAGCCCCTAGTAGCATCCTTGCTCCTAGGAGTAAGGCCAGGAGCCCCTAGTAGCGTCCTTGCTCCTAGTAGTAAGGCCAGGAGTCCCTAGTAGCTTTTTGTTTCTAGTTCTTTTTGCAGGGTGTTGAGGGATGTCCTTGTGACTTTGCTTTTGGATGGGACCTCCCATGAGAGACATCAATGTGATGGCCGGGTACGCTGCTTGATCCCAACTCGACATCGCTGGATGAAAGCGGGCGACAAACATGGGCGACAAACATGGAACGTCCAACGTCCTACGAGTACCATCAACCACAAATGCTTAGCCTATGACATTCCTCGCATGGAAATATGTTGATGAAACAAAAAGAACTGTGTGAATCTGTGTGGAGTTCTTGTAGACTGGAGCAAAACAGCAGATCGAACGCAGCTGAACAATCCACGGGTTTTTGCTCTGCATATTGAGTGATATTGATCTTGGGCACTCCGTCTGTTCCCCGTCATCAACTCATGTCTGCGCACCGTAATCGGCACCAGGGGCTGTAGAGGAAAGACTGGTACCTGTAGACCTGGGAAGTCAGTCGAAGTGTTTGAGGTTGGATGTGCCCTACGAATCCTATGGTTTAGGTCGGGGCCCCTCCCTCTTTTAGTTGCTTCGGAATGGAATCCGAGGCGCAAAGGCTCTCTCCCCTGACCAATCCCCAAGAGGTCCCTTTAATGAAAACCATCTATATCAATGCTCCCTTGAAGGTGCTTTGGAAATCTGGCCGAGACTGGAGGAAGCATCCCACGACACCGGGTTCGGAAACACACGTGTTGAAGGTTCGTGGTAAGGGTGAATCATCGTGAAAGTGAAACGTGCAAAGGTTCATGCAACAGTCAGACTTAGATATGCCCAGATCAACGCAAAGTCTGGACACCATAAAACAGCCGGGTGTTTGTTTCGAGCCACTTTTGTCGGGAAGTGACCTTTGTTAGACTCATAGTCATAGAATCTGTGGTTTGCTAAAGCCAAAAGACATGGGTTGCATAGAAGGGCCTCGACACCAAGGTCTTTTAGGGCAAAGACAGCAAACCACGGCTGAAGGGAAAGAAGTCGCCCATATGGCTAGAGAGGAGCAGCGAAACAACGACTCGTTGTGTCACTACAAAGGAGGCCGCTCTTTTTGCACAACTCTTGGGGATTCCTTCTTGTTACTAGTAGCTACTTGCTCCTATAGTAGTACGGCCAGGAGCCCCTAGTAGCGTCCTTGATCCTAGTAGCGATGCCCTTTGCTCCTAGTAGATTCTTGCTACTACTTCCAGTTGTTGCCGGAAGCAAGCCGACAAGTATTTTGAACCGCGGCCAGAACTGCCGTACCTGGACAGCCAGCTTCACTAGAACTACGCTCCTGGAAGTGGACCTTCCCTTCAGACCACAACGGATATGTTTGGTAAAAACATGTAAAGACACACTCGTCCATGGCATTCTCGCATTCCACGTCCACCAATGTGGGACCCGTGTTCTTTTTTGTGAGCTTTGCTATTGCTGCCTTCAGAGGTCTGTGATGTCGCAACTCCGGGCTTTGAACGATTAAAAAAAAAAAACGCTCAGAATCGGGTCTTTAATAACCGAAAAAGGTTACCCAAACACTACATGTATGGCACATTTACTTACATTGGGGCGGTTTCAGGGGCCACATCTACTATTGATATTATATATATACCATATGTACATGGAGTGTCTGGGTTATAACACGCTACATCACGCTACCAAGGAAAACAAAGCACAGGGCAACCACATCTTCGGTCCTCGTCGCCACGGTCGCCACCTCGGTCTCCCCGCTCAGCTCACCCGTTCCGGGCCGCCAGAGCTTGACGCTGACCTGGACACCCGGACACCGGTCTCTCGCGGCGGGGCCTGAACACCCGTCCGTTGGGACCCACAGGGTTGTCGATAAATGAAGAATGAATGATCATGATGTTTGATGATGTTTGTTGTGACTTGAGGAAAAACATAAGCATGTGTCATCATCATCTCTCACGACCGATCGACCGATTCTAGGAAAACACCTTCTTGGTCTCCTGGTGGTTTTGACCCACAGCCATCAAAAAGAAAAGACCCGGCTTTGCTGAAAACTAGACTTGTCCAGCAACTAGCCTCTTTAAAAAGAAAAGAACACGCAACCTCCAAATCCATGCTAGATGATCCATGATATGGCTTACATGTTGGAATTTGGGGGGGCGAATCTAGATCATATTTGCTTGCATCGAGCGTCCGGACATCGATGTTGGATCAAAACCTCCGTGTTTGGCGTTCGTCTTCTCTAGTCTTGAGGACACATCCGCCATGCGCGGCCCATTTTGGGCTCCGACGCGTACGTCGTACGTCGTTGCATGCGGTCCCGTTGGTTCCTGGTAGTCCGGTTGGCCCGGTTCTTCCTGCCGGATCCGTTTCGATTCCATCTACCGGTCTACCCTTCTTGTCCCTTCTCAGGGTTTCCAAGGCAAGGTTAGCTCCTGGGGTGAATGTCACCCAGTGGCTTGACCAGTCTCTTCCCAACCTGACTGGCGCGACGCCAGAGTTTGGCACAGCGCCTTCTGCCCAGCCCATCCGTGGCACCTTCTGCCCAGGGAACTTCAGCTGGATCAGGTACACGAAGCTAAGCCGTTCCTGTCGCCGTTCGCTGTTCCAAACGACTCAGGTTGTCCGAGACCACCGTATGTGGGGCTGCAGATGTGGCAAAGCGGCAGAAAGGACAAATGGAACCAAATGGAACAGCCAGAGTGATTATGATTGAAAATACGATACAGTATTTTTTTCTCAATATATGTTGGGGTGGTCACATACACCACTCACTTTTGTTTACATCCTCAACCCTTAGGGGGCCCCAACCGGCCCTACTCTGTGTCGTGTCCAGGATCGAAAGAGTACGCCCAAAGAAGTGCACAGTGCATCTGAAAAGCGAATAAAAATGGTCAAACTACATGGGTTCTGTTGTAGTTCTCCAGCTGGAACAGCTCCGTTTCTGAAGTGATTTCCTTCCCCTCAGACGACGCAAGAAGGTTCGTGGGACCGGAACGTTGTTCCACCAGTTTGCAGAGAAATTTGCCTACCAAAGGCTCATCTTCAAGTTCTATGTGGGTGTTGTGGGTGTGTCATAAAGCCCAGGAACTTCTCCCCACCTGATCCGTCAACTTATGTGCAGAACTCCTTCCATTCCAAAAACAATCAGCGTTTGATCTGCCTTCAGAGATTCAGTGTACATGCAAAGAAATCCTGAACTGGAAAAGACGCAGCCAAGATCTCGGGCGTTCGAAAGCCAACATGAGGAAACCCGGGCGCAAAGCTGGACGTCAAAGGCCTCGCCTGGAAGCCGACGTAAAAGGTGCCATCGTTGGAAATGCTGCGATTCTCAAGCTCCAGAAGCACATCCTCGGTGTCTTCGGTGGGTGGAGTGATGATGACCTCGCCAATTCGATGACCGGATGTGGCGACCAAAGGTCACAACCAAAAGAGAATGTATATTGTCGGTGCAGTGATGTGAGAAAAGACGGGATGACGATGGGCACTGACATTCGGCATCCCCAACGTGGTCATTTCGGCATCCGATTCTCAAAATAGAACATGAGTCGGATCACTTTCCTACATCCGGTGCTCGTCCGAGGTCAAAATCATGTGGACCCAGAATGAAGGAAAACTTCACCAACCAGCAAAAAGGCGTGGTCCCTTGCTTGTGCCAAGAAACGCCAGGGAAGACCAGCCCTTGTGCGGGCGACAAGGGAAGCAAACCACGCACATAGACCTCGGTCTGGTCGACCGGCCTGAGGACCCGTGAAACGACACCTGTCGTCATAATCGTCTACGTTGGTTTCGTGCAATTTCATGGACACCGATTTCATGGGCTTTGTTTAGATTTCATGTGTTATATATATATATACACTCAAAAAGTTTGTTCGCGTTCAGCTTTGACGGAACTCACGGTGATTCAAGTCTCCACGTGGGAGTCTCCAGCTCTTTTAGCATGACAAACTGCCATATGTTATATTGGAATATTCTGTGTCACTCAGCCAACAATGCAACCAGAAGATACAAGAAGCATGAATTTCATAAGTCCTGTTCAATAGATAGAGAGGTTCAATTATGACCAGCACTGACCAGCTACGGCACAAAGAACTACAATACGAGCAAAGTTTACTGTTTGAAACTCTTGCCTTGGTGTCTTCTCATGGTTTCCCATCTACCGCTGCCAGTGATGCTGGGGGACGATCGCTATGATCGATGGTGTTTAAGGTCGTGGTTTTCCATCTACCACTTACACTTCTGGTCGAAACATGAAACGGGGAAGATGGTGGTTAACTTGGTCGTCTCTTGTCCACTGCCGGTTCCGAATGGTCCGATGGTGCCGATGTCGTGGTTGTCCGTCGTCCTCACGGACCAAACCCACAGAATCACAGCAAGACTCGGAGAGAGCCCGAGACTTGGCAGTCACCACATGCCACGGACTGCTACTCTCGGTTCCCCTGCCCCAGTACGATGTTCCAAGGCCAAGGACTCTCGCCTCATGGAGAGAATGAGAATTGGAAAGGAGAAGGAGGTGGGTCAAGCAATCTCTTCAATATGAAGGAAGCATGTCTTCAACATGATTGAATAACCATGGCTGAGAAGAATTGACCTCAATACCCAACATGAACTTCAAGTCAATTCGTCTATAGATTCGAAAGTATCAACCCTTGAATGCTGCAGTCCGGGAAAACCGTTGTGGAAGGGTTGTTGCTATCTACGATATCTGGGCACGTCTTACAGTATTCTATAATTAGTGTGTACTAAACCGGAAAAACATGGGAAAGTTCAAGAATGTCTTGCAAGGCTTTTCTGATCCACTGGAGCACCGTGGCCAGAAACACCTGGGAGAGTTGTTTTAAGAGATACAACCATACCAGGGATGCTGCCGAGCAAATACCCCAACTTGTGACATCCACCAGCTGAGCCAACATGATTATCGCTAGTTGTACGTAGACTTAGACCAAGGATATGTATTGCACCCATCACCGAAAAACCTACCCAAACCTGGTTGGGCGCCGCTGGTGGAGATAGAAAACAACTACTAGACATGTTCCCACCATCCACGACCTTCCTGAACGTGTGCCTTTTCACGAGTCGTTTGTTGGTCACATCTGGAGCAGAGGTGAGCTCCTTCAGGATGGTCGGGTGCTTGGGCAAAGAAAAGAAGTTTCGCAAAAACCACACATGCCACAACAGTTTGGGTCACCACCAAAGAATGCTTCCACCCCCATAAAAGTGTTTTTTCCATCGTCTTTCGTCACCAAACTCCTCTTCAACTCCCCTCCCCCCTTACTAACCGCGCTCACTCCGCATCGCCGCGCCGCTTGGACCGGCCGAACCCGAGCGGCAGTTGATCGTTCTCCAGGCCCTGGCGACGTGGGAGCCATCGGACGGTTGGGTGAGACGGTTCTCAATGAAAAACGCAAAACCTCGAAACCCTTCAAAACCTGAACATCTTCAAACAGCCCCAAAAACATGCAACGAAATAACCTTCAAAAAATCCGTTGTACACCCTCAACCGAAGAAGTGCCGATCTATGGTGAATGCGTTGTAGAAATCTCCTTGACTGGAGCACCCACAAACTCGTTTTCACACCCACAAACTGCCTCTTTGTTGGTTTCCGGGTACAGATGGGTTGGTGAGTTTACGTGGGACATCTGCTACTGAAGAGATACATGAACTCACCGAGATATATGATTACACGTGGCAAGTCGCAATGTGAGGAAAGCTAACAGGATCCCTTTAGAATTGGTTTCAAAAGTGATTGAGAACTAACTTGTGCATTAGCTCCAAAAGAGTGCCAGAAGCCAACCAATGGGAGGCTTACGAAAGTGTTCGAAGTGCTTCCTTGAGGACCCGTGGACCTCGTCGAGGTTTACGGTTTGGGCACAGACGCACAAAAACAAAAGGAACCGGTATGCGGCTGTGGGTCAAAACCGGGGAACTTGGTTTTTCCCACCAAAGATGAACACTACTTAGACTACTTAACTAGGGACGTCAACCTACCAGGGATTGGGGCTCCAGGCTTTGACCCACAGCCATGTGTTGGACCGATCCACTTCAGTCCCTCCTACTGCGAAAATCATACGAAAATCACACCCCTGCAAACGTGCGTTCTGCAACGTCCAATTCCATTCCCACATGGAACTCAGGCACATTCAGGCACCAAGGACGCAAAGTTGCCCACGCCAATGCCCACGACCCAGTTCAGACCGCAATTCCGTGCAACTGACACCTACCATCGCAGAGGTAACTTGGAAATGTCTTCAATAACTTGGAGCTTTATACAAAAAAACACCGAATTCGTTGAGTCTTAGAGTCGCAAAGCCCTTAACTCCACCATTGACAGCCCGTGAGATCCAATTTGACTCGATTGCAAGATGCCACCTTCGGATCATGTCCTTGGTCCTTGCCATCTCCACCCGCGACGGGCACGAGTAGATCGCCCCAAGGGTCGCCTGGTAGAAGATCCCCAAGGAGCAAAATCCTTGAGATCGGCTGGGGTCCTGGCAGCGGCTGGGGTCGGTAACTTTGCACTAGCTCAGACTGAGGCGGACACACTTAAAAGCATTGAGAACCCAACAGTAAACTGTTTGGGGGAATTACACTTTGCACTGACGGAACACATTACAATGTAGATGAAACATCCGGGGAGGACAAGAAGTCCCTTGCCAGGGGCCATTGTGGGGGGTCTGTCTGCGGAGGGTTCATCAGGAGCCCTCTCCGATCTTGTGTCTTTTCTTCTGAGACAGGCCGGTTCATGTCGGGCCCTGGCCTGCTCCCTGTGCAGGAAAATCCAGGGGCAGAAAGGAGGCTAGTTACTTCCCAGTGCCACGCGGCTGATGGGGAGAATAACCTCCGATACTACCGAGCATGCAAGGAGGGAGAGTGTTGGGGTAGTGTTTGCATCCCAGTACCGCAGGGCAGATGAGGAAAACACTCCTCACACATCTCACCCAGTGCATGTCTGTACTCTTAGTAAGGTGCATTCACACACCAATAGGGGGTCGGTGTGTCACTGTCTCCGGTGAATCTGTGGATCTGTGTTTCATATTTTGGAGTGAGTCCACTCGTTCTTTGCTCCAGCTGATGATCTCTGTGCATTTCTCAAGTCTTAACCAGGCTTAAACCCACAAAGCAGACTGCAATGGATCCACGCAGCAACGAAAATGATCAGGAAAGGGGTATGGCGGGCTTTTGTTGACAAAGTGTTGGTTGGACCTGTGAAACACCAGTCCAAACCACTGCCGGTCGATCTGGTCACCGACTGGTGATGAGCTGCACATGACCAAGCGCATGACACCTCCAACTCTGCTGGTCACCCCAAAGTACAGTAAGTGGACCGCATCACAGAATTTAAAACAAATAACAAATAATATATATATAGAGAGAGAGAGAGAACATAATCTATATATAACATATATAACATACAACATACAACGGTCGTGTTCAATTTCCTCCACCGAAACCGTGCCCAACCACCTCGAACCCAAAGCCGGAACAACGTCACCTTTTTCACCGCGTTCAGCCGACGGCTGAAGGAATCCGTGCCCGTCGCTCCTGGGGATCCGTGTCCTTCAAGAAATGCTCGATGACGGGCACAGGGATCACATAGCCGATATTTTGCGAACTGAGCAGATCGACCGGTCAGGCCGATCGGCCGTCAGGTCGATTTCAGGTCCATCGATGCGTGGGGAAGGAGTAAAAGACTCGGAGCTGTGAAGCTGAGGCATGAAATATGCAAGGCCCCCGCGAACCTCAACCCCAGTCAAGAGCGTGCATGGAGGCCAGGTGGGCCGCACCCAAGGGTGGGCGGGTGGGTTTTGAATGCCAAAATGCGCCCCAAGGCCGCAATTGATTAGAGCACCATATTGAATGCATCCTAGAGCAAAGAACAGTAAGGCCACCTGAACAATAAAGGACAACACTGGTCTTTAGGTTAACATGATGGCACTTGCTGTGCAAAGCTGCGCTTAAACCTACTAGCGATGGCCTCCAACCAAAAACCATCGGGGAAACCGGGGCCGTCTTGCCGTCTTGCCGTCTGGCGTCACAGGGAACGATTGGTCACAGGGATGTTTAAAAAATAATGGGTGAACCTTCGTCTGGTAGATGAAGCCCTTCAGAACGATGCAATGAAGCGCTTTTTCTTCCAAGCTTTGACCACCCTCTCTTAACTCTCTCTTAGTGGACATGCTTCAATACAATGACCCTATACAGGTAAAGGTCACACGGGCAGGCCCATCTCGTTTGCAAGGAAATCTGCCAAGAAAAAAGAACGACTTGGCAACTTGCAAGATCTCCTAAAATGTCTTATGTAAATTATTGTAACATGAATTCCGTAGTTGTTCACATGTTGATCGTGGTAATACATGTCCATCCAATGGCTTCGATTCCAATCACTTCACTGAGGGACTTCTGCTGGTTCTGGAAGGCAACCCCGATGAGCAAGGAGTCCTGCAAAGACTTGGAGACCACAGCATTGCCATGGACCTCTCTGCTTGTTTGGACCTCTGATCTTTTCGAAAAGATCCGGCCCAAGGCGGAACCTTACTTTTGTGCACATCGTTCCATGTCGTCCTGTGTAGGATTGACGTCGAATCTACTTTTGGAGGTCTTCTATTCTGACACAAAACCAACCCGATCGAAGAACGAACCACACAAAGAGACTCTTCAATTTGAAAAGACCATACAACTCAAACTAAAATAAATCCATTTTCCGGGCTTTCCTACAGAGGTTGACCAATCCGTACTTATATGGCCAATATAGTTTTTGGTAGTATATAAATCTATATGTATATATACCGGTCTACCTCTTTGAGGTCACAAGTCACTTCACCTCTGACTGTTCCACCTCGTTGAGCACAGGCCCTCCAGAGTTGCCCGGGTTCACAGCAGCCTCAGGTCGGCTGGGCGGTCGGCTGGTCGGTGAAAGGTGGCTCATGATGGCCTCATGGCTCCCAAAAGGAAGGTGCTCATGACTCACCTGCAAGTCACGCTGCCATGCCCACATGTCGTCCTAGTCGGCCTTTTGGAGTCCTTTTCACCTCGTTTCTCCAGGCGGACCGTGATGGGTGGCGCTGGAAAGGGCACTGGCTTCTTGGAGTCACCAGAGATCACGCAAGGGACCCAGTGAAAAGGGATCGTCATGAACAAAAGGACCAAGAGGTAATTCTCGATGTTTCAATTGGATCCAATTGTTTAATCGAAAATGAATAGGTACCCGAAAAGCCTGTTGAAGAGCCAAATTCACCTGACCAATTCGTTGCTCACCTTTGGCCTTTGCATCCTTTAGTCCACGGTTCACTGCAAGAACTTCCTCCATAAAACCCGTGGTTCTCGGGGTCCATGATGTGTGCACCGATACGTTTGGTTCACTCGGACCGCTCCGCGCCCACTGTGTCTGTGGCATCAATTTGTACCGCTAGGAGATCCACCTCAGCATCGCGGTAAGCAGGCCAAATGGCCTTCGGTCCGGGAGGGGTGATTGGAGCCTAGGGATGACAAGCCCCTGCGGCAAGGACAGGGGTCAAACCACCCCTGCGTCGGGTCTGACCCCTGCTATGGAGGGTCCAAGGAGTCTTAGGGAACACCAACCGAAAGCATGGACTCCCAAACCGAAGGTGGACATTCTTCAGGTCGTCCACATCGCTTACAGGAATACAGGGGTGGTTGCAGGGTACCCATCTCTCCCAAAGTCTTCCCAACCTTTTAGATACCAACACCCACGTGTTTTCAGCAAGGCTTGGTCGAAAGCGGTGTGAGCTTTTCATCAGTGCCCAATGCATCAAAAGCCATGGAACAAATAATGATTGGAGCTGCTGGATCAAATCCTGGCCCAAGAGGAAACAGATCTGGTTGTGGTCTTGAACAAAACCAGATCCCCTTGTGCCCATTCTTGATCAGATCCCCTGAGCTGGGGTTGTTTGACAAACCAATTCCAGTCACAAGTGAAAGAAACCTTAGACACCGGGCGCCAGAATGCTCGTAAGTCTGGATCTCAATGCGGGACCTGACAGACAGGGCTGGTGCCGAGCAGCTGGGATGGCGTTCCGACCGGCTGGTTTCGCAAGGAAAATGGACCAAACAACCATTGGGCCAGGGTGTCAGCAGGGTGTCACCCTAATTCTTAAAATACACACCCAATGAAATGTGGGTGTAGATCTGTCCGATGACATGGAGACTCATGGAGGACATAATGTGAAATGAGGCTGGGATTCGACATGGCAACGTTCAAATTGCCATCTCGGTCAGATGGTTGGGTTTACGCAGATTCATCTGCTCCACTCGTTCCCACCGCTGCGCTCTCTGCGCAGCCCACCGTTCCACGAGCACGACGCCCGCGTCCCGCGTCGCGAAGCGCCGCCAGGGCACACGACGCCCTCGGTCACCGAGACGCCATCGCCGCCCGTGGGGTAACCCACGACGGAGACCTCGTCCTGGAACGCTCCGGCTGAAAAAGAGTCCGGAACGCGCTCGAGGGAGAGTGACATCATCTTAGAAGGAGATGTTTCGGAAGAAGAGACCATATTAATCCATATTATTCCATATTATTCTGTAACCCATTTGACTCCTGTTTTGATAGGAACAAACCAGATGTTGATAGATTTGGGGTGACGTGTTCCTATAAACTAGGGGTCACTCAGCTTCGAGGCCACGGGTCTTGAAACCATGTCAGGCCGTCGCGCGGGCGCCCGGGTATCGGTTGCGCCCCGTGTCTTTCGAGCACCACCTTTGTGCCGTGAGCAGGGTGGCGTTGAACAACTCACCATGTCAGGAAAGAGTCCGAAGTGTAGTTTCGTCAATAGAACATGTTAACATGTGTATGTGTTCTGGAAAAAAAGAAAAAGGTTGCACGCTTACGAGGGTGCAGGATTCTACAATCATATCATGGCTTATCATGGCATGAGTGAGGTTGTATGATGCAATTCCAAACATTGTAAATGCCCAAAACTTTGTAGACATCTGTAGTTCCAACTGTGAGGCCTCGCCCTGTTCCGGCCGAACACATCCGAACACGACGCTTCGCACCGCCCGGGCCTGCAGGGACGGCATCGGTCCAAAGTCCAAAGGACTCACCTCGAACAGTGTGTCCCCAGCGGAGCGACGGGGCTCTGGAGCGACCACCCGGCGTTGGGGACGAAAGATGAAGGTAAGGAAGCAAGGAAGAAGGACGGTTGCTGTAGATCGACTGATTGAAGCGGAGATGATCAGAATTGGTTAAAACAAATTCAGTGGTAAACACGCTACTCAACCTGGGAATAGGTTTGTTATGTGTTCTGGGTCTTCGGTTGTCATTTGTCATTGTCAAGTTGTAAAAAACCCGCAATATCAAATGGCATGTCGAGCAATCACCTCCCCGAAACCTTCACCGAAGCATGGAGAAGACCACTTCCAATGGCAAACTATTAGCCTGCGGAACGTCCGTTTCAATCATATCATTGCGTGGCCTGGCATATTCACGTGCAACGATTTGATTTACGTATGGGTGTTCTGGGTGTGCATTAGAATGAGGAGACCCGCCCCTGTTTGACCCAGTAAGAAGGAGAATAGACAACCCGTTGGGCCAATTGGCCCTGACAGTACCCACGACTTACCTCCCCACGGTTTGCGGCCGAAAAAAATCAGCAGCGGAGCCAAACAAGGCAAACGCTTCAAAAACAACCCGTAATGGGGGAAATGCCCTGACACTGCAGTGAGTCCTGGAAATCAAACTTCCAATCCAAAACACGTTGCAAGCGGATGCGCCATACGCCATACAACGCCATGGGTCATGGACTCGGCATCGAGTTGCCCAGCCGCTGGAAACCGCTCCGGGCACCCGAACGTCGGCCCAGAAGCCATCGTCTTCCAAGCCTTGTCTGATTAGCGCGGAAGCACAAAAAGAAGAAAAAAAGCCCATCTTGCAGTCAACGAACAAAAGACAAACAAGCAAACCAAGAAACAAACAAAGCAAGAAAGCAAGCAAATAAGCAAACATGCAAGCAAACAAAGAAAACACGAAAGCAAGCAAACAAGCAGGAAAACAAAGAGAACAAGAAAGCAAGCAAACAAGCAAACACAAACACAGGCAAGCAAGCAAGCAAGCAAGCAAGCAAGCAAGCAAGAAGGCAAGCAAGCAAGCAAGCAAGCCCCTTTTGGAAGAATAGAAGGGCTAGTTTGGCACGTGTACCTATTGGTTTTGCACTTGGGGGTATCCCGTCTGTTGACCTACCAAACAAAAGTTAAAAGTTCATCTATGAGCGGCTATGAGCGGAGAGATCCGTTCGGGGTCACAGAGCGCTAGAACCTGTTGGGCTACCAGCCTGCCATCGCCCACCACAATAGCCGTGTTTCAGCCACTAGAAAGTTCAACCACAATCGGGACGCGGAGATGCACTTAACTATAGACTATAGACTCTAAACTGTATATACACTTGAAATTGCAATATGAAACTTTACTCAATCTTGCTGCAGTGGTCTCCAAACACCTATCAAATCGGTCTCCTTGGGGATTGCCTTGTTCTTCTCATTTTGCCTTGTCAGCAAGGTGGCAGCCTGTTTCATGTTTTGCTCCAAGATCACTGTCAAAAGCAATGCCTTCCTCAGCCAACCCCCTTTTTCCGCACAGATCTTCTTCGTGGCCTAGCCCTTCTTGGGCCTGGGACGAGCTTACAGGCAAGCTGGGAGCTGCTCTTCTTGGTCATGCGGATAGGGCATGTGTAAAACATTGACAGCGATTATCAGTGGTTAGGGTATTCAGAATACCGATCAAAACCCCTACAGTCGAAGGAAAACCTTCGATGAAAGCGAACATTCCAGGTGGCTGAGCATTTGGATCTCATGACACGAAGCAATGTTGCCACGGCGAACGACAATCAAAATTTTATATTGCCGACTCTGAATACTCTGCTTGGATAAATGCGGTTTTGCTGGGGATGGTCTCTGAAGGGCCTATTTGCCAACTGCACACAAAGCAACAAGCACAAGGCCACGAGAAAACTGCAACCCGCATTATTTGGTGGGACAACAGTGAAAAAGAGCTCGCAAGGCAAGGGCAGCGGATGCTGCAGACCCCCAATGATACACGATTGGAAGAATCGAATTGTTGTGCTCCCTTCAACCTTCCAGCCCCGCACCATTGGTCGAAGCCACGCCCGCGTTACATTGAGGGATCGCAAACAACATATACAGTTGACATGTCGGCCTCAGCATTTGAGTTGCCCCTGACAACCGAAGATGTTCACCTTGCAATTCTTCAATTCAAGAAACATGTTTCCGTACGGGAGGTTGTCCATCAAAAGCGCAGAGACTTTGAAAACCGTACAGGCAGAAGCTACGGACAAACACGCCAGCCTACTCACCTGCACCTGCACAATGTGACAGTCTTGAGGTTCATGAGGGGCGAACACTCTAGCACCCAAATACCGCAACCGAAGTCTGGAGCCAATCTCGGTCCAGGCTGGGCCCGGGCATGTGAGATTTGAACAGCAGCACCCGGCCCTTTGTATGCTTCTTTCCGGGTGGCATATAGAGTGGGCGTACTGTAGTCTCATCGCAGCAAGCGGCTTCCTGGCACACTGAGGTACCTGAGATGTCTCATAGCCAAAATGTTTCAAGAGCCTTCATGCCCAGCGCAACGGCTTCAGGCTTCAGGGCTGCATCAACAACTGCTCAAGATCCTCCACAAAGCCCAACCTAGCCCTAGCTGCCCTAGCTACCTCGAGGCGCGAAGCTCACAGGACAATGCCATGGAAAGACCCAGGTCTTCCAGCTCAAGAAGCGGTGAACAGCAACCCGTGACTAAAACGAACTCTGATTCCGGTAAGCGACAAACTGATGATAACGCAGTTCTGATCTGTCTTGAACGAAACCTTTACGACACGATGTGCAAACATTGCGCTTCTCGGCGCTGGAATATCTTCACATGTTTCACAGCCAGCAAAGGATGTGAGCAGAACAAAGCCCTGCACTCTTGTTCAGGACTCCAGCCCTACACCTCCCTATACTCTACAGTCTACACCTTCTTCTGGATATCACTCCCACCCAGGCCTGACTGCTAGACTTGATCAAAAACTCACATCTAAACAATGTCTGATTACTAGATGGCCTCCCCCTCCCAGCAAACAACCGAAGGTGTCTGAATAGAATCAAGGCCACCAAAAGTATTGACAGCAGCATTAGTATTAGCATTTGTACGTATAATAGTAATAGTATTGTACTAGCATTAGTATTAGGAGTAGTAGTAGTAGTAGTCGTCGTCGCCGTCGTCGTCGAAGTCATCATCGTCGTCGTACTAGTACTAGTACTAGTACTAGTAGTAGTAGTAGTAGTAGTAGTCGTCGTCGTCGTCGTCGTCGTTGTCGTCGTAGTAGTAGTGGTAGTAGTAGTAGTGGTAGTAGTAGTAGTAGCAGTAGCAGTAGCAGTAGTAGTTGTAGCAGTAGTAGTAGTAGTAGAAGTAGTAGTAGTAGTAGTAGCAGAAGCAGTAGCCGTAGCCGTAGCCATAGTAGTGGTAGTAGTAGTAGTCGTCGTAGTGGTAGTAGTAGTAGTAGTAGCAGTAGTAGTAGCAGTAGCAGTAGCAGTAGCAGTAGTAGTAGTAGCAGTAGCACTAGTAGTAGTAGCACTAGTAGTAGTAGTAGTAGTAGTAGTAGCAGCAGCAGTAGTAGTAGTAGTAGTAGCACTAGAAGCACTAGTAGCACTAGTAGTAGTAGTAGTAGTAGTAGTAGTGGTAGGAGTAGCACCGGTGGTAGTGGTAGTGGTAGTAGCAGTAGCAGGAGTAGAAGCAGGAGTAGCAGCAGTAGCATATCAGTAGCAGGAGCAGTAGCAGGAGTAGTAGTAGTAGTAGCAGTAGTAGTAGAAGTAGTAGTAGTAGTAGCAGTAGTAGTAGTAGTAGTATTTTTAGTTTTAGTAGTAGTCGTCGTGGTCGTTGTCGTAGTGGTAGTGGTAGTGGTAATAGAACAGTAGGCTTGGATATTTTCCCAGGGTTGTTTACCACCCCCTAAACAATTCTAAGTATTCACTTCCCCTGGGCTTGTGTGCTACCACCTTGAAAAAATGTTTAGAGCAATAAAGTTGTTGTTGAGCCTTAATAAGCCTTTTTGAAAAATGGTGTCCAGGTCAGAGTTCCAAGAATCAAGCAAACCTCAGAAGAGTTAACTAAGGTTTTTAAAGGGCAGCAATAGCAGAACAATAGAAAAGTTTAAAAGAAAAAATCTATTATTCTGGGTGTGGAAAATAAGAACTTGGCGAAAACGTGTTATTATTCCTGCCACTTTTCTAAGTTGGATTGGATTGTCCACTTCTGCGTGTTATTGTTTCAGGTGTTCCCGTTCCAGGTGGGAGGTATTTGACTGTATTTGTGGGTCTCTTGAATCAGCTCATCAGAAATCCCAGGACTCGCTTCTCCAGTTCAAAATCAAAGACATTGCAGAAGAACCAGAAGAACCTTTCCAACTTCCAACAGTCAAATTCTCGCTAGATACATTGAAAAATGTGTTCCTTTGTTCGTCCCATGTGTCTTCCTTTCTTCAAAAAATGCTGAAACCTTCAGCTTTCTCAGCGTTGCAACACCGAACCAACTCCAAGATCTCTACAAAGACCTCACTGAAACATCCGCCTTGGACCACCCAGCCGCGTTCTCCCAACCGCGGATCAACTCTGGAAGGCGGATGTGTCTTACAGAGGGTCAAGAGGGTAGCATGGATCACTGTCGCGGGCAGGAAGAAAGGAAAGCACATGTGGTCAGAAGACGCTACGTACATGGGTGAGAACCTCAGACCTCCGATAGACCTTCACGAACTTACAGTATGATATTTCCCTCAGCCCATGCCACTTCCACGTCCATGTCTTCCCTTCTATAATTCCCCAACGAACACATTTGCGGATCAGGAACCTGGATGAACCTGGAAAGAATGAAACGCATTCAGGACCCACAAGGACCAAACGAAGAGTATTTCGAATAGCCCACCACATCCCCTGCATGGTCTGGGTCCACCCATGTCCTCCGTCATGTGGGATCACCCCAATGGAACAGACGAACGGGACTCCCATCGTGGACACGTCCCCCCGAAATCCCCCAAACAAACCTCCAAACCTTCCCAAAAGTGCCCGAAGCCTCCCATCCCCAAAAACTTACCACCCCAACACATCCGGGCGTCCAAAACCTGTCAAGATCCCTTTTTGAGCCAAACCAAGCCGCTGGCGTCTTGGAAGGTCTCTTGTCCGACCAGCTTTGCAAGGCGCAAGAGCATGGCGTCCAACATCGTCACTTCTGGTGCAGAAGGCGCCGGCCTAGGCGGTGTCGGCGTTAGAAAACAACTTGGTGGCTCACGGGTGTTTTTTTCACACGGCCAAGTGGTTAGGACTGCGGAGGTTAGTAAGGTGTTGAGTGTATGACTGTGCTCACTGAAAAGTGAGGTAGCGCTGCTAACACCGTGCATATGGTTGAAACATGTTGAAATACACTGTGGTTTACAGTCAAGTGAAGTGAAGGTCTAAAGAGAAAAATGCTTTCTGGGAGCTTGCATCTGAAATCCCAGCCTTGCAAGAAATCGGATCGCGAGAACCCTCATGACTCATGTGTGAAGGTATTCCCAATTTTTCAATTCTGGAAGAGTGGGGTAGTATTGATCGGGTATTGATCACGCGTTTTCAGGGAATCAGGCCCTTACCGACACTTCACAAAACTTGGGGGGATTCTCTTCACTCACTTTTTGGTGTGAGAGGCAATGGGATGGCGAAATTGTCATCAAATGACACCAAACCTGAACGCCCAAGACCTTAGAGGCAAATGGCCGGCCCAAAAACATGTTAGGGTACAGCTTCCTAGTCCTTGACAGGTTTTATGTTTTATATGAGGGATGGTCGGCTCAACCGAG